TATATATATATATATATATATATATAATTATTCTTATTTTAGATATTCATATTACAACGTAAAGTTACTTATTAAACTACATATATAAAATATATGCTATATATAATATAACTATATAAACTATATATTGCACTTTAAAGAATGCAAATTTTACTAAAAATGTTTTTTTTTCAGTACACACAAATCTTGATTGAGCCCTAATTTATGCATGATGGTAAAATGTTATAGCCCAGAAGGTACATAGAAACGTGAGTGAGACTGCAAAAAGAACCTTTGTCATCATGTAGCACCAATTTTCATTGCTTTTAGCGTCTGTTGAGCTACTAAAGACACTCCCGCTTCCTGTATTACTGTGAAAGCACAGGTTGCCATGTTTGAACCGGTAGCTGCGAGTCTCTTGAGCGTGAACGTGTTTAAGCAGAGGTGGATAATAGTAAACACATGAAGTGGTAATCTGCTCTCCGGGTGGAACGGGGTGATGGGGAGAGATGGATCATCTTGCAGTGTGTGTGTGTGTGTGTGTGTGTGATGTACATGTGCGTTTAGCTGTGAATGTGTGTTAAATTGTTTAAAAACACTGATCATCCCCAGACTCCTGAGATCTGATTTATTTATCGTCCATCAAATGATCTTTTTCCCATGCTGCATTTGGCTTGCCAAGCATCAATCTACTTCTGCTTCAAAACCTTCATGCATACAGGATAAAATCATCAAAAAACGGCCCAATCTATTAGACTCATCTTTACTCAAAGCACTGCCAAGAAGCAGACGAGCGCGGCCGATAAACGTGACATTTGAAAAGGACGGCAACGGCTGACAATTTTAAAGGTTGTTTTCCCGTAAATACGTGAAGATGAGAAGGTGAAGACATTCTGATGTATCGGTGTAACGCTGCCAGAAAACAATCCTGACGGCATCACGCGCAACAGCTTCCTGCACAGATACTTTGATGTTTCTGATGGGCTGTTTATTATGAATTCTGATCCCATATCGCTCAGCTTGATTCAGCCGTGTTCATCTGCTTATTGGAGCCTTTGATCAACATGAAAGAAACTAGATTTCACATCAGACCGAGGGCATATTTTATAATAGATTTAAGTCAAAGTTAATAAAGTACACTGTTAGACTGCAGCCTGGCACGAATTCTTACTATTCACACGTCACATGATTGGGTATATTATTATTATTATTATTACTTATGTTAATAATGTAAATATGTTTATTTTAATTATACTAATTTAAAATACATTATTATTATTTTTTATTTGTTTGTTATATTTGATTATATTAATATACATTTATTATTAATAAAAATTATCTTTTTTATGTATAATAATACAATATAATATTAAATATTATGATTTATTATAATAGATTTAAGTAAAAAATTAATAAAGTGCACCGTTAGAATGCAGCTGAATTCTTCGAATTCACATGTTTGGGTATCTAATAATAATAATAATTATTATTATTATTTTATTATTATTATAATTATATTAATATAAATATGTTTGTTTAATCATATTCATTTAAAATACATTATTATTATTATTTGTTTTATATTTGATTATATTAATATACATGTATTATTACTAAAATTATATTATTTTTATGTATAGTATGATACAATATTAAATATTATGATTTATTATAATGTTTAAATATGTAAATGAATAATTTAGTGGAGATTTTGTGGCAAGTATCAGTAGATCTTTTATTTAGTGTATGATAAAAATAGATAAAATAGAGGGAACATTCTTTCAATTTATAATTAAGCCACATATAGGGACCAGAATATAGTAAAGTGAGCTTTTTTTTTTTTACATTTTTTACTTGGGCCAGTAAACAACCTCCCAGAACACCCTAGCAACTGCATATCAACATAGCAACCATCTACAAAATCCAAGCATTGCGGTGCCATTTTCTTCAGAAACTTTAGATGTCAATATTTTCCTCTAGTCTCTGATATATATACAGTTAATCAGACTCGCAAACCCACATCTGTAAAACCACAGAGTTCAGATGACAAGGAGAATGAAATGAACTGTGTATTTGTGATGAGGTTCCAATGTTCTGAGTAATTGGTAACAGACTCGTTACATAAGAGACTGTAAAATATAATCACAAGTGCCTTTTTGAAAACTTTTTCCAATAACTGCATAAATATTTAAGTTTAATGCAGTGCTGCTACGATGAATAATAAATTTTTGAATAATAATTATGAATCTGATGAATAATATTTTTTTTCTTTTTGCTCTGTGTGTCTGCAGTGCCCTCCTTCACCTTCACCCCCACAGGTAATCACACCTTCCTCACAGCACATATGCCCAGAATTCCCACAATCCCTAGAGTGTGACGACTTCCTGCCCAGTGGAGTTGGAAAGTGCACGGCAGTATAATGTTTCTCAGCCGTTGTAATGAAGTGTCCCTCAACACTCCCTTCAGTCACGTTCGTTCTGCACAGCAGAACTCCAAACAAATGTGACACAGGCGAAGCGTGGGAGGCACGGCCTCTCTTTAAAAATACATCTCCCCACAAGAAAAGAACCCCAGTCTGAGTTTACATGGATAATCAAAGAGAACTTCAGTCGCATGGACTTGTCAGCATAAAAAGAAGTCAAAAAGCATAAAAAACAGAGAGGGAGGAAATGCGTGCTTGACTAAAGAGGGCTGTTAGAACCGGCAGAGCGGCCCACCCTAATGCTTCGGACCGGATGGGAAGCTGTGACATCAGAAGTCTCGTGACCAATTAGACGAAGAGAGGAGCCGGCTAGCATGAGGACTGAACTCAGATGACTTTTACATACCAGAGAAAGACGCTTGGACCCTTTCATTATTTCTCATCTCATGCGATCTTTCTGTAACCGCTGTTGACTCACCTGGTTATGGGAGGTTTTTATCAAAGAGATGAGAGGGGAGGGATGGATTGAGAAAGAGAAGGCTTGTTTTTAGTAGCAAACCAAACAAGCTTTATTTCCACGAAATGCAGGAGCTTGTAAGATATGAAAGAAAATACAAGGCCAACGAAATATGCTTAGATGAGCCTGTTTAAAGAGATAGCTCACCCAGAAATCCCAAATCTGCTATCATTCCTAAACTGTATGAATTTGTTTCTTCTGCGGAAATTTTCTTTGCCCTTTGACAGCAAGATATTTATTTCATTACAGGTTTTCCATGTTATTTGTTCTCATTAATGTAACTTCTTTTATCTACAGTAGCCTATCAGAGAGGAGGAGAGGCCGTCAGCAGTGCTGGAAGGTGAGATGTTTAAAAAAGCACACACGTTTTGTGATCCGACACCTTAAAACCTTGAAGTTAATATTTATCAGAAGCCAACAATGTCCGTGTGAACGGTGTGTACTGTAGTGTAATTGCGTTTTATTGACACTAGGGGGCATTTTTGTCTTTGCAAAGACATTTTTGGAGGTTGTGCAGCGAGACGGAGCCCTGCAGAACCCAGATGAGACAAAAGCCCTCCGTTTCTACCCTGCTAATGCAATCATTTCCAACCAATTCATTTCACCGTGTGCATTTGTGCACCTCGTTCAAATAGTTGCAGACGATGCTCTTAGTGTGTGTCTTTCCCTCTGAGTCGTTTTTTTGGAGTCCAGCTTTTAATCAGGCAGGTCTTTGCCCTTGCCTTTAAGCCTTTTGTAGCTAAAGAATCTGTTAGAAAAAATTAAAGAAAGAGACATACCATGCTGCAGGGATACGGAACGAACGAAGACAAGAGGAAGCCACGTTTACTTTGAAGCATCACGTTGAAGATTCATTGCACAAAACTCTTTCTTTGATGCTCTTTTTGTGTCTTTGATAAGCGTCCCTGAAAAAAATCTTCCCTCATCTCCTTTAGTTCCTCGGAAGCATTTTAATGTGACCTTGTTTTATCATGAACGCTAACTATCAAACATAAATCAGTGTTTTGAAATAAAAATGACTTTAACTGCAAGATTTGATAGAAACGGTTACTATGGGCGCTGGATGAATTCATATATGCGTTTTATCCAGAGCTTCTCCAGCTCTTGAGATCACGTTGATTGACTGTGACACCCTGGCATGCGCTGAGAGCTCCGAGCTCTTCCTTTAGCAATGGCTGGAGCAGCAATGTTCTCCAGCACTTGGGTAATCCACACGGAGATCTAACGGTCACGAGGCCTCAGGGAAACGGTGTCATCAGCCATGAGCAAGTCAAGCAAACGCAATCCATTTAGCACAGATACAGCCTAATGCACTGAGAGATGCACTGGGATACAAGGAGATGGGATAGGCTTCCTGTTTAAAGCTGAAGCGTGTCATTTCTGTGCCACCAAACAGAATAGTCTTCCCTCGGCCTGCCATTGGTCAAACTGTTAACCCTGCCCCAAAACTCACACCAATGGTTGTTCCGATGATGCTGTGTCAGGCTCACTGATTGCTTTCCTTATTTGTGGCAATAACAGTTCAAAAATGAAATAGAAACAGCATTTAACACTACTGATCATGATCATACAGTGTGCATGTACCACTTCCAAGTTAACGTTAGTAATAAATCACCATGTGTCTGTGTTTTCCAGGCCAGGCTTGTTGAATATAGGTGAACCAGCTACCCAGCCCTGGCTTGCAGACACATGGCCGAACAGCTGCTCCAATCACAACGACTGCCCCATCAACTGCTGCACCGGCAGCAACGGAAACAGCGACAGCAACCTGGCCACCTACAGCCGCCCAGGTGAGTGTGTGAGCGAGTGTGGGTAGGAGTCTAGCTGTTAGTGTACAGAGGCATGATGCTATGCTCTAATCAAAGTGGAAAAAATTACAATTATAAGTAGAGATTATTTCAAGTTTTTTGCATTTATTCATTTAGCAAGCTTTTTTTTTTTTTTATCCAAAGCGACAAATGAGGAAATACTACTTCTGGATGAGTTTGTTACTTAAATGTGACCCTGGACCACAAAACCAATCATAAGGGTAAATTTTTTGAAATTGAGATTTATACATCATCTGAAAGCTGAATAAATAAGCTTTCCATTGATGTATGGTTTGTTATGATAGGACAATATTTGGCTGAGATACAAAAAATCAAAATATTGAGAAAATCGCCTTTAAAGTTGTCCAAATGAAGTTCTTAGCAATGCATATTACTAATCAAAAATTAAGTTTTGATATATTTACGGTAGGAAATTTACAAAATATCTTCATGGAACATGATCTTTAATTAATATCCTAATGATTTTTGGCATTAAAGAAAAATCGATAATAATGACCCATACAATGTTTTTTTGGCTATTGCTACAAATATACCCCAGCGACTTAAGACTGGTTTTGTGCTCCAGGGTCACAAATGAGGAAAAGACTTGCTAACGACTAGAAAAACAGGCTTTATTATATTAACTGTGACTCAAGGACTTGTTTAAATTGATTTAAAGCAATCGTTTGCCATTAACGGTTCAGATTTCCCCCTTATACCACATTGTTTGTGCAACAAAATTTTTATCGTTAATCTCGTTGAAGTTTGGGCTTGTTAATTTCCACTGAAGTTTCCAACTTGGAAGCAGTACGTTCTAGTAAACCTATCCAAGTTGGAAATTCCAACTTTCCAAGTAGAATGGAACGCAACTCAAGTATCGTGTCCTTCCTTTGACACACAACTGCGTGTGTGATTTGTTGAAACCTGGACGTTTTAGGGAAAATAAAAGCGGCCGATATTGAAAAGGCCCTGCAGGCTGTACTCCAGCTAATCCAATCAGCCGTCTGATTTCCATACCGCCGTTAGAACCTTTTAATGCAGTTTCTCGCTTATTCAGTAAACCAGGAGCCGTTACAGAGGTCAAAATAGACCTGAGAGAGAGAAAAAGAGAGGGCGAGGAAAGAGAAGGAGTGATGGAGCACCTCCAGGTGGCTTTATTTCAGGAGTCAGCAAGTTACTTTACAAACAAAAGAAGACCAGGTTGACTCCCGAGTCCAAAGAGACACTCACTGAAAGTGACAAAGCGGCGTTAATATACAGAGTTACCCAGTTTTCACAAAGCAACTCTTAGTTTGGACAGCGGTGTCACTGTTGGTTCATTTAATGATATTTAAATGTCACTACAAGAGCTTTTTTGTTCTCCGCTATCAGCTGGTGTGACTAAGCCGTTGGCTAAGAGTATTTCATTCATAACAGAACCCTTAAATGCATCCAATCCTTTCAGAAAAATGTCTTTCTATTGAATTTAAGAAATTAGCTACCATATTCATGGATAGGCCTGAGGATTAGGCTTTGTGTTTGATCAGACCATCCACAGAAACTGTAGATGGAGCTTTTTTAACCCAAAAAGCTTGGCTTTGCCTTTGATATCCATTTATTGGGAGTGTGTTTTCACTAACACTAGATTTTATCCCTGTCGCCTTCATCAAAGCAGGGATGAAGGATAAATGTTGAGTGATTCTCGCAGCATGACGTTTTAAAAGCTTGACACCCGCTTGCCTGGTGTGCCAAATACTAAAAAATCTCCAGGATATTAACCGGATCAGTACTCACAGGGCTTCTCTGGTAAGACGACTTAGTTTGTCTCATTCCATGGGATCTTTTATCATTGATACGTCAACCTTTGAAGTGCAGAGCCGTTCCTTCTTGTGGAAACACGAGCCACGCTCGAAATCCGTCCAATGGCAGGCCGCGGTATTTACGCGCCAAGCTTCTCGCTCAGATCCCGGGGAGGATTTGAATATTTTATGAGCCGGGGAAAATTGGATCTGTCAGAGGATGGTCTTTTACAGCGTTCCTCGTTTCGGAGGCTTTTGATTCGGACGTGTTGGAACATCCTGCTTGATGAGCTGGGATGCCTTTCTCGTAGCTGCTCGGGAAACTCAAAGTGACACGCTTAGCTTGTGTCGTGGACGAGGGAGAAGGAGGAGGATCGTAGGACAGTGTCAGGGATTCTGATGAAACAAGTGTTATCTTGATATTTGTATTTTGAGTATTCGACGTTATCTTTGAAATTTCTGGTTTCAAGTGTTCTTTCAGTGTCTTCACTCCATGAGTTTCTGTAAATGTCTCCTTATTTTAAAAGCACTTCAGTCTGATCAGTACTTCAATACCTACAACATATCAGAATCCAGGTTTATCCTTAGATCCTAAACAGTCTTTTGGCTATCAAAATGTCTTACTCCTCTTCTATCATCCAGCCGACTGCATCGCCAACTACAGCAACCAGATGGACAACAAGGCCAGCAACCTTCTAGCTCCCGACACGGGCCTTTACAGTGACGTGGACCTCTCCAACAAGATCAACGAGATGAAGACCTTCAACAGCCCCAACCTAAAGGACGGCCGTTTCGTGGGTCCTGGTGGTCAACCTACGCCCTACGCCACCACCCAGCTCATCCAGTCCAGCCTGGCCAACAACAACGTGAACAGCAGCAGCGGCGGAAGTGGAGGAGGAAGTGCTGACCTTAATGAGAAGCTGAGCTGGAAGAGCAGCCAGGGTACGCCTCAAAAACAGGCTGACATCAACACGCCACTGCAGTATAACGTCATGGAGCAAAACAAACTGAACAAGGGTGAGTTTTGTGGATTTCCTTGCGGTCCCCAGAAATTTAAGGCAGATTTATTTGAATTCGATTTTAAACACTAGCTCACGCTCTTCAAAGAAACCCATGCCATGTTTTTCTCGGTTTACCACAAAGGTGCGTCATCGAATTGCTGCTCTTCTTGTCTTGTTGCTCTATTGTCTCCTCATATTCAGACCACAATAAAAGCGTTACACGATTTTGATTCCTAATAGCCTCCCTGGCACCTTTACATGTGGCTTTTTCACTTTCTAACCCCTTTTTTATCCGTCACGGTTGCTCATATTGCGTATATGTGTAATTCAACTCTGTGCTCTGCTAGTAAACTTAATCCATATTTATAGCTGTTGTTTTACTGTTTGGATGGGGATGAAGGTAAAGAGTAGACTGTAAAGTGTCGGATGTCTCAGAACAGTGTGAAGCCAGAGATCTTAGATTACTGTACAAATAAGGGGGAATGTAACTCAAACTCAAAGCTATCCATTATCTGCTGCTTCATATTGTGCCACTAAAAAGGTCATTGTGTTTGCTTTTTGACTCAACTTGCATGAATCTAACTGCGTGTGGGTGTGATATTTCATACTTGGTAGACAATTGAAACCAGTCACCAACAAGTCATAACAGCTTATGACTGAAACCCTTTTGTAACCTTTTACCACTCGACTGTCTGATGTTCCACTCTGAAGCGTTCTGCATTGAAGTCTATGCATTTTATTAGAGCTTTCATTTGTCTAGTTCACAAAATATTTTTTTCATTTACTCTGGTATGTAAAGGACTGGTTCATAATGCCTTACCTGTATGTATAATACAAACTAAAACTCAAAATCTCTTGACTGCAATCCCTTAGACCACTATCGAGGTGAGGGGCCCGTCTCAGGCACCATCCCCTATAACCAGGCCCAGGACGTCCTCACAGGAGGAACCTACAGCAGCTCCGACAGGGGGAGCAGCACTTCTGGTAAGACATCCATCCATCCATCCAATGTTTTGTTGTTCATCCATCCATCTAAAGTTCTGTTGTTCATCCATCCATCCATCCATCCAACCAAGTTGTCATAAAAACCTGCAGACATAACCTCCTAAACGGTTAGCCTGCAATTTATCGCATTATTCTGTTTTCTTCTCATTTCCATTATTTCAGAGCCTTTTCATCACTTCAAGAGGCAGTAAATCATATGCAAAACAGGACATTTACAAATCGCTCACTCATTGTTGAGAAACTCCGGGGAACAAAGAGAAACATTTGCGTCCGAACAAAAGGAGGCGATTCTTCCTCACGATTTCTGAGGTGCACGAGTGCATATCTTAAACGGCAGAAACAATCTCTCTCTCAGTCCTAATTCCTTTAGTTAAAACCATGTTCCCTGCAGATTTCTAAGGTCTGCCGCATTTTCCCGGAATGTGTCTGATTTGGATCCCCCCTCCCTTTTTGCGATTCGCCACACCGTCATTAATTACTCCGGCGTTCATCCATCCGACTCAAAGAAAGGGGGGATAATGTTGTCAGAAAGCCGGTGTTTCTTGCGGGACAAAGATAAATGAGGCCCATTCTGCGGCGTATGCAAGGCTGCCGGCGTAATGCATCGTATCTATTTTTATATTGTATTTGAAGTTCAGGTAATTAAAGAGAAGGTCTGAGTGCGTGGAGGTCCTCACAGCTCATTGGCTCTGAATTTTAATTCCTTTCTGTTAATTGGCCTCCAATGTTTCTCTTTTTAATGCTCTCTCTCTCTACCTCTCCTCTGGGCAATGAAGAGTGTTAGTTTTGAAAAATGACTCATTTTTTGATGGAGAGCGCAACGTTAATTACAAATAGAGAGATAATGCGCATAAGCGTTTTACACCGCATAAATTATGTTGTGGGTGTCATTAATGTTGCTTCTCCTGAGTGTAAAAGTGCCATTTGTTTCACACATGCATCAAGCTCGCAAACAAACTAACAGAAAAAGAAATGAACCAGAACTTAAAAGCATTTTAATTTATAAGTTCAGATGGCATTGTGGGCTGGGAGTTGATATAGCACTGTTTGTATCACACTGAATGTGTATTTTTTTATTTACCGTATTGGCCCGAATATAAGACGACCCTGATTATAAGACGACCCCCCTTTTTCCAGATGTACCTTTTGGAAAAAGGCTTTTTAAAAACCAAATCTTGTTTTTTCTCAGTACAGGTTAGATCAACACACAAAGGTTTTCACTTATGGTGTACAGTATGCTTACAATGCACATTAGGAATTACATTCATAGTTTATGTATTTCAGATTTTTTTAACCATTACAATCATATGTACATACAGCATTTTAAATGAATATTATGAATTTGTATTATTTGTAAATTATTTATCATGTATTTATATATATATATATATATATAAATATATATATACACACACACACTTGTATATATAAAACTTTAATAAGATAAATAAAATTATATTTAAAATAATATTAAATAGATTAATAAATCAACAAAATATTAATACAAATTAAAATAATAAAATTAATAAAACAATAATTTTTAAATAACATGAATATATAAATGCATAATAAAAGTAATTACTATTATTTTAAAGACATTTGTCAGACAGTTTGTACAGCAACTTACAAAAAAGTCGTTAGTAAACATTAAATTCTAACGATTACACATTATATGTAAGTTAGAAACTAAAGATCGCAAGATGTGACGATTGAAGATCGGCGATTTCAGTTTTTCAAAGTGGTCATGTTTTTTGGTTTTCTCTTCAGTTATGACACAGACCAGCAGTGCCCTTTGCCGCCGTCTCGTATGTATCTGCAACCTGACGAGCTAGAAGAGGAGGAGGACGAGGTGGAGCTGGAGCGCGGACCTACGCCGCCCGTACGGGGAGCAGCTTCCTCACCTGCCGCTGTATCCTACAGTCACCAGTCCACCGCGACCCTCACCCCGTCCCCTCAGGAGGAGATGCAGCCCATGCTGCAGGATAACCCTGACCTACACGAGCGCAGGTACGCCAGCTGCAGCAGCTTAACAATGCTTTTCTTTTTGAACCATTTACAGTTTCATGCATTTGATGTCTGTCGTCCTCCATTAGGCGACTCTTGGTGAGCCCACCCCCTCCACCACGCCCCCTCTCCCCTCCGCACACATACGGCTACATATCCAGCCCCCTGGGTCTGGACACGGACGGCCTGGAGGAAGAAGAGGACGAGGAAGAGGGTGACGAGATGGATGCGGAGGTGGCTCGAGTCCACCAGCTCCACACCCACCCTCACCAGCAGCACTTGCCCCAGCAGAGGGCTCTCCTGCGGGGCCTGGAACAGACCCCGGCCTCCAGCACCTGTGACCTGGAGAGCTCTGTCACCGGGTCTATGATCAACGGCTGGGGCTCAGCTTCAGAGGAGGACAACGCCTCATCGGGTCGTTCCAGCGCCGTCAGCTCATCGGACGGATCTTTCTTTACCGATGCTGATTTTGCCCAGGCTGTAGCAGCTGCGGCCGAATATGCTGGTTTACGAGTGGCAAAGCATCCTGGGAAAGGCCACCATCAGCTTCCAGTGTCTGGAGGTACTGGAACGTGTATATGCTTTCTTAATAAATGTTCCTGATGTTAATGTGTGTAATTAAAACAGGCCTAACAATATAAATCTACTCCTGAATCCATTTTTATGAACAAACTCAATCCCAGCCTGTATCATTTTCCACAGAATATTCTGTTTCACTTGGACATTATGGAAGATATGGAAGTGTCCCACCAAAATTTCCTAATATTTGCTCATGAAATTAAATGATAATGGTTTTAAATGGAGACACTAACTGTAACGCTATACATCCTACAGCAGCTGAATTAATTTGTATTTAAATCTGCGGCCTTTAATAGAGCTGAACTAAGCAAACCCTCTGTCCTCTAATTTGCCAGCAGCACGGAAATACCAAAACCTCCCTGTGGGACACCGTCCAGGCAGCCCAGTGTCCACAGACAGTAATGTTAGTGCAGCCCCGGGTCAGAGGAGGCCTCTAAAGAGGCAAAAACAACATCCAGCTGCTCAGACAGGCTATCAGCGCCGAGAGTCCTACTCAGAGGGTACGTCCACACACAATTCTGCACACTGTCATTAGGGATGGGCATCATGAATACTAAATACTTATCTACCTTGTTTGTTTCATTTAAATATATATATATATATATGAAGAGTTCATTTGCAAAAACCAATAACTCGATTTTTATTTTCTTTCAGAAATCACGTTTTTTTTATTGCGCATTCCAAGTAATATCAATCAAACTGCCATTGGGTTGTTTTGATTAAGTAATAATAACTTAAACAAATACAGGTAATTTACAAAATTAAAGTTAATTGAAAGTATGGTTTTTTTTACATATTAAAGGTTTGTTTTATAGCAAAAGCAGATAACTCCACATTTCATGTTTTAGAGTTTAAAAAAACACTGACTCTTGGTGAGCCCACCCCCTCCACCACGCCCCCTCTCCCCTCCGCACACATACGGCTACATATCCAGCCCCCTGGGTCTGGACACGGACGGCCTGGAGGAAGAAGAGGACGAGGAAGAGGGTGACGAGACGGATGCGGAGGTGGCTCGAGTCCACCAGCTCCACACCCACCCTCACCAGCAGCACTTGCCCCAGCAGAGGGCTCTCCTGCGGGGCCTGGAACAGACCCCGGCCTCCAGCACCTGTGACCTGGAGAGCTCCGTCACCGGGTCTATGATCAACGGCTGGGGCTCGGCTTCAGAGGAAGACAACGCCTCGTCGGGTCGCTCCAGCGCCGTCAGCTCATCGGACGGATCTTTCTTTACCGATGCTGATTTCGCCCAGGCCGTGGCAGCTGCGGCCGAATATGCTGGTTTACGCGTGGCAAAGCATCCTGGGAAAGGCCACCATCAGCTTCCAGTGTCTGGAGGTACTGGAAAAGTGTATATGCTTTCTTAATAAACGTTCCTAATGTTATTGTGCATAATTAAAACAGGCCTAATAATATAAACCTACTCCTGAATCCATTTTTATGGACAAACTCGAGCCCAGCCTACATTATTTTCCATAAAATATTCTGTTTTACTTAGAAATATGCCAGATTGTGGAAGATATGGAAGTGCCCCACCAAAAACTCCTAATATTTGCTCATGAATTTAAATGAAATAATGGTTTAAATGGAGACACTAACTGTAATACTATACATCCTACAGCGGCTAAATTAATTTGTAGTCAATTCTGCGGCCTTTAATAGAGCTGAACTAAGCAAACCCTCTGTCCTCTAATTTGCCAGCAGCACGGAAATACCAACACCTCCCTGCGGGACACCGTCCAGGCAGCCCAGTGTCCACAGACAGTAACGTTAGCGCAGCCCCGGGTCAGAGGAGGCCCCTAAAGAGGCAAAAACAACATCCAGCTGCTCAGACAGGCTACCAGCGTCGAGAGGCCTACACAGAGGGTACGTCCACACACAATTCTGCTTTCAGTCATGAATACTAAATACTTACCTACTTTTTTTTTTTTTTTTATTTTTTAAATTAGTTTTAATTTTATATGTGCACTTTTCAGTTTTAGTTTGTAAAATACTACAAAAACATAAATTCAAAATAAAACTAATTACAATATTTTTTTAATAATTTGTATTCATTTATGTTATTATTTTTAATAATAATAACAATTTATAAATAAAATACATTTAAAAGTAAATTAAATGATGTATATTTTATGAAAAATGTAAAATTAAAATGTTACCAAAATATTAAATATTATATTTTTTATAATTTGTTAATTTATTATTATTATTATAATAATAATATTAATAACAACCATTTATAAAATA